AATAGACTGCCACCAGAGGCGGTTCAAACACCCACTTTAAACACCTTCAAGAGACATTTGGATGTTTATCTTGCTATGACCCCTGCTGACTTCCTCCCCCTGCGGCGGGGCTGGACTCAGTCTTCCAAGGTCCCTTCCAGCCCTAGTGTCTATGTTTACAAGTGAGATTTCCTCTGCTGTTGTTTGAGGTCCTCACCCCTAATCCTACCCCCTGCAGCTGTAGAAAGAAGCAATCTCCACCCTCTCTGGCTAAAAACAGATGTGACCCCAGATCTGTTTTTCTCTGCTCTTGACCAGCATCACAACAGGTTGGGGACAGTCCTTGATACCAGCATTTTTCAACCTGTGGGTCATGACCTAACAGTAGGTCGCAAGAACATATGAAAAGGTTGCAAACAAACTTTAAAAGAGGATTCTCTTTTCAAGGAGAAAAACATGGGAAACTGTGGCTTCTTCCACACAGGCTGGCAGAGCCCCAACCTGCGAGGGGCTGCTTGGGGCCCCCCTGGCCTATGCACTGGGGGGCTGGGCCAGGGGGCACTGGGTCAGGACTGGCCACCAATGTTTACAAATGGATCATAGTATAAAACAGGTTGAGAACCGCTAGTCTATACATACAGCTTGAATGGCAATGAACTCCTTGAAATAGCCCCTGTTGTCCCAGGAAAAAAATATATCTTGGGATATCTGTAGGATCCCAGAATAAAAGGTTTTGTCCCGAGAGAAATCTGGTTTTAGCCTTTGTAATAATCACCCTTCAGGTACCCGAAGATGGTACTCAAATAACCTAGTCTTCCCTTCCCCAGACTACATAACCCTACATCTTTCAGACTTTCTTCAAAAGTTTTGCTTCCCAAGCCTCTAATAGTTTTTTTATCACTCTCCACCAGACTCTTTCCACTCTGTCCAAATCTTTCTTGAAGCACAGGGTCCTGAACTGGACACAGTACTCCAAGTGAGGCCTCACAAGTCCTATGGACTTGAGGAAAAAGACCCCTTGCTTTTCCTGCCAAACATTATGCTTGCTTCCTGGGATGCAGGTTGTAGCCATATTGGTCTATAGGCAAAAGGAATCAGAACTCATGCTAGAGATGATCTCTTTTATTAGACCAGCTAGATATTTGCAAAAAAAGTCTTTATTTGCAAGCTTTCAGGCGCACACACCCTTCTTCAGGCACTGGAGAATGCAAAGATTGTACAATTTCTCCTAGGTGGAAATGTAAATTCATATTTTTCAGGATAGCTGGAGGTGTTGTAAGATCTTCTGGTTGGAACAGTTCACATTTTGTGCAAATTAGGCCCAGATAGAAGGTAGAACAGTCTTCTTACCTCAGAGCTGTCTGGTGGCAAAGGAGGATGTAGAATTATGTTTCTATGTAATGCTTAGTTCCTGGCATATGATAACCCTAGGTAACCCCTCTACATTTTACCACCTTCATTTTCTCTCTAGATCAACATTCCCCCTTTCCCCCAACTCCATCTACCTGTCTGATGCCTTTGTCTCCTGTGGCCTCTGATCCTCACTGCCACGCATTTGCATTTTCACAGACCTGTATATTGACTTCTATCCCATCCAGGCAAACATAAAATACCAGCAGACCCCCTATGCCTGAAGAAGACTGTTTGTACCCAAAACTTGCAGAGAACAATTTTTCCAACTATTTAGTTGGTCTAATAAAAGATACCACATTTACCCAAAGAACCTTGCCTATGTTTGCTTCCTGACACTTTCCACATCCAGACTGGGCGTTTCTTCCATTCTTTTCATATCCAAACAACTTTACGGACAGCCAAGTGTTTCCACTGCTTGGAAACTATCTGAACAAAACAATGCAACAGGCAACACCCTTCTTGGTGGCTAGTGATCAGGTAGGAACAAACTGCCCAGAGAATGTTGTCTGGTTACTGCCAAATCAGTAAGTCTCCTTTCTATACGTCTCCGTCTCAAGAATAATTATCTCTAAAAGTCTCCTGTTACGTCGTTCAAACTACACACAACCACAGCACAGTGCATCACAGACAGCTGTCATTTCCACAGCTAGCACGTTTCTTTTCCTCCACTTAACCCAAAATTTAAGTTGAGCCCTCACAGTTGTGTCTAGTAGGATACAGAACAAATCCATTCCCAGTCGCTATTCTTTGGCCATCTCACAGCACTTTAAGTTTCTGCAATTCTAGAATTCATGGGAGAGTTTTTAATGCTACCAAGAGATTCCACATCCTCCCTTTTAGCACAAACAGGAACAATGGAGAAGTGGACATAGATTGGACTTCTGGTCGGAGAATAGGAAAATGTGTTTGGTGGAAAACACCCTCAATTAAACATGAGATTCTGTACTCAGGCGGACAGCAGTGATGAAAAAAGTGAAGAGCTGCGGACAGGAAAAGGAACACTGGCAAGACAGCACAAACCAGTGACAGCAGGAAACACTAAGCTCTAGAAATGAAAACCATATGTGAAATTTGTAAGCTTCAACTCGAGAGAACAGCAGAGCAGTCAACTGCATTGATAGGAAGAACAAATAGTGTGAACAATGAGGGAAACCTGCGTGAAGTATTTCTCTAAGAAAACAATCGTTTTGTTGATTTTTACTCCCAGTCTAGCCCATCAGAGGATGGAAAAGGTAGAGAATTCTTCTGTTTTGTTAAACAATTTAAACCAGTAATTAACAGGATGATAAGAGTTTCCTTTATGTGCCTCCGCTGCCTTAGCTTCCTTTCTTGTAAGGCGGCTAGAAGAAGAAAGCAAGAAAGGCGGCCAGAAGAAGGAAGCAGGAATACTTACACTCTGCTTAGAGCATATTAAATGACATGTGTTGTTGTCAGGGCCTATTGGGGGGGGGGGGGGGGCG